TTTATTATTATTCAAAATGACTGCTGTTTTCAACTTTATCGCTATGGAGAAAATATGAAGAACCATATTTTTTGCTCATTTTTCAATCAACTTGACACTAAGATTTTCACAACACAGTAGTCATATGTCATTTTTGTTGGCTCGCATGCAACAAATAGTTGTAATAAAACTTGCACTCGAAGATCATTTCTGATTCCTGTTTAATTAATATGCATGGATTGCAACCAAAAACTAATCAGGTCTGAGCATTATCCCAGAGCTTATGTGTGCCAAATTTCATTAAAATCTGTTTAATGGTACTTGAGAAACAAGGGAAAGTGCATAAAATTGGCCAATTAATATGCAAATTAGGTAATTAATATTCACAGATTTCAACCAAAAACTAATCAGGTTATCCTAGAGCACCTAATAGTATGTACCAAGTTTCATTAAAATCTGATAATTTGTTCTTGAGATAAGTGAAACAGACTGCACTAACCACAGAAAGAAATATTACACACAGGGGAAATTGAAAAATACAATGAATTAATTTTGAGAAAAAAAGAATTGAAGGAAGAAGAAGAAGAAGAAGGAACCGCTTGATGTGCCCTCCTCTGCCAACACACGCACACACACACAAACACAAATGTTATAGAAGTGATCTGTGAAATACTATAAAAGGGAACAGTACAAATGAGAATTTGTTGAAATCAAATTGATTATTCTGTACATGATATATGTGAACTATAGCTGCGTATATTTCAGTTTACACAAATAGGAGCAGTTAATCCATTTCTGACAGAGGTCATCGGTCTTGTTTTGTAATACAGGATATAATAGTCAGTCTTTCAAGCTTCTGAAATGGATAGTCATCTACTTGAATGGATTGCAAACTGAATAAATATACGAACGTAATTAATAGTTGTTGTGTGGGGGAAGTACTAGTAATCAATCCTTCAGTTGTTGCCTTTATTTTTGTGCCAATTGTTTGTTTTCTCCATTGTCCTCTCATCACAACCTGGCAATGTGTGGATAACTGGGTTGCTTAGGTCTTGATCCACTGGGGCACATACTTATAATGGTGATATAGTGGAAGCAGAATTTCTCATGATGAAAGCTAACCAGAGATGGCATTACTCAGGAAAGGTCATGAAGTTACCAACAAAGCTAAGCCACAATATCTACCGGTATGTCTACTTTGTATTTTGACAATATATCTTAATTATTGTGCGGGACTTGTACATACCAGACTGCTTGAAAGAATCCACTAGAGAGAAGCTTAGTTCATATAATTCGGTTGCGATTTGGAGATCAGAAGTTTTGGGAAGACGCCCCTGACACACAGGAGCTTGTCAACTGACTGCAAATCTCTCTTTGTGTTCGCACTTGGAGATTTGCTGTCAATTGCCAAGCCTTTATGCCGTGACACATTTGCAGTGAAACTTTTCTTCTATGGTTCTTGGAATTCTCATCATATCTGTGATATGGACATTCAGTTTTCACTTGACAGAATTGAGGTAACTATATTGCAATAAAAAGATGTTGCACTTTCAGCACATCTACATATAAAAAAATAAAAAAAATGTACCTTTAAAAACGGAAGCATTTATCTATGATCTCTGATGAACATAGGTTGGAGGGTTTCATACTTTAAACCAAAAGACAAAAGTTATTCAGTAATAATAAAAAAAACATAAAAATTAAAAAGTGATATTTACATACATGTATATTACAAGATCAAGAGAAGACATAGTAAGCCAGGCAGGTGAATATACAAAATATTTGAAATTGGAAATAACAATGACCGACATAACATTTTATTGCTGTCGACCAATGGAACCTATTTCTAAGGATGGAATAAATTTATTATTATCATTATTATTTAGACTGACAAAAAATCATTATAAATATTGCATGCCCTGCTAAAATCACCAATTCATTCAGAAATTGTTCATATCTACTTAAAAGCATTGGAATTTAGTAGACTGGGGCTTTGCATCCCAAAATGAAATTGTATAATTTTTCTTGCGATGTTACTTGTACATGTATTACTTTTAGATTTTTGTTACTTATATATTTATTTCTAACAATTGATAAAAATGTACTTTTTCTGAAAAATGCAATAAAATGTCATCCAATTCTACTTCTAAATGCATAACTAAACACAGGGCATGTATTATTGAGTTGTAAATGACACTTTTTTAATTATTCATAAATATGACATTTCAACTTCTGTACTTGTATTGCTCTCCTCAGGCCATAGCCAGCACTTTTGAATAGAGGTTCGGAAACAATATAATTTATGAATTTTAAAAGGAAAATTCTATGGTACATGTATCTTAGAGCTCTGTTAGTAATATTTTAAAATTCATTTTTATTACGTTTTTAATACACGTTACATCTTTACCATTTTTTTGGTATTTATTTATTTTTTGAGTCTCTCGTACTGCTCAAAATCAATACTTCTCAAAACTCTACCATTTTAGGTAGGAAGTTCTTGAGCCAACCCCACCTGCAGACAGACACACGTACGCCCTAGATCCACCACTGCAAATTGTTTTAATAAAACAAGGACAAGACGATTGGACAAATCTTAGCATCATTGTCTGAGCATTTTAATTAATAACGTGATTTTTGCATATCGCACAATATATTACTTAAGTTACGCCATAAATCACAGCACGCTTCGAATACCCTGCATCCTTAACCCTGCAACTTTACCAAAGTAACCACAACACGGTCAATATTGAATGAGGAGTAAAGATAGAGATGCCAATCTCTCTTGCCCCGAGTAACGGAGGTATAATCGTAAACGATTATACGTATTCAACCTTCTTAATGCGGAGAAATTGCACTCACACTCACAGCTTGTCACTGACATGGTAGCAGCTATTTGTAGTAGAACAAATATACTGGAAAAGTTTGATTTATCGCATACTCTGAGGGTAAATTGTTGATACTGAATTTTAGCTGCAAGTGCCACCTATACAACTCGTGATTGGACAATTCTACTGGTTCTAAATTTTCGGCATACTATGTTTCATCGATCTTTTCACACCGTGGCTGTACACTATTATCCAATAACACAGACGCACTAATACAACAAGTTGCGTAAATTTGGCTGATAAACCTGGAAAGAAACAGTATATATGCTATGCCATCATTAACTTGGAGAATGCAAAACAAATAAACCAAACTAGAAAAGTACTGTCATATTTAAACAGATTGGACATATTCTACTCTGCAGTTCCCGTGAACTGTTCATTCAGTTCACTGCATAGAGGTCAAAAAAGGAACATCTAAATTCAGTTTGCAATATCAATATCCTGCAGGTGAACTTGCCAGTGTAGTTGGGCGTTGTGACTGACGCCTTCTCACACATGGGTTTGTAGGCGTTAGTTCAGCGATTGATAATATGTACAATGTAATACACTTTTGATGTGGATATGGTGATAAGATAAGTCGTAAATATCTGCTTTGAAAATATTACTAGTATGTAATCTACTTACCAATTCATAAGCTTTAAATATATCTGGATGGAATAGTATGCAACAAACTGTGACAAAGGACACAATGAAGTCAAAACATGCACAGAGAGAGACTTTGTTTGTAACTGTTGCATACATATGCTTACCCGTCATAAAAGTTGACACCAGCTGCTTGAACGCGATCTTCATTACTGCATCGCCGAATAAAAGCTTGACCCCCCTCTATTTGCTGCTGTTTAGCCTCTCAGCTAAGGAACAGTCATTCAAAGCCGGTGTATCGTCCTGTTTGCCATCAAAATGCTCATTGCTCTTCGGTTGAGATTGATAACTACCTCACCCCTACCTCACTGAGTCAAGTGAGTTAAACGTTGATAATTATTTTAATTATTACTGTTTGTTTTAATATGTATTCTACGTTCATAACTATATTCATTTCCAAAATTTAAGGGGTTCGACTGAAGCCCCTTCCAAACTAAGGGCCTGTCACCTGGCCCTGGTAAGAGTTCACTGTGACATTTGATCTCTTGGTGGTCTCACTTCTGCCTCGTTTTGGGATGTAATCCATATCAAAAATGGTTCAATCCATGTTGGTGTGCGAGTCGAATTACCTAATAAGAAAATTGGCGCATCTCATCTACTGACACTGGCAGTCTGGTTCGCGATTGTTTGACATGCTTTCACCTGAGTAATATTTATAAGTTGTATATCGCCCTCATGCAGGGAATTATTCGTATTCCTTTGTTTTATCTCCAGACAACCTGATTACGCACATAGTAAACAAGTAAGTGGCGAAAAATAAGTGGTCTGTCTGCAACAATATATAGCTAATATTTTTTCTAAATTCTGTATTCTTAAAGG